TGGCTAGGAATCTCCTGAGGAATTATGAAACCGCTCTCTTTCATCTTCTCTCCCTCCCCTAGATCCGGCAGGATAGGCTCCACGTGCTTTTTCTGAAAATATAATTTAAACGACTGTCACAGAGAAAACAGATGGCTTATATCTGTAAAGTCTAAAATAGATTGCTAAGATTATTCCCCACTTATTTTTAATGACTCCAGAATTGTTTCGAAAATTTGAACCTTTGGTTTTTCAGCTCTTTTTATGCACAAAATAGTCGTCCTTTTACAATATTCATATCTGACACTCATACTGTATATATCAAATAAAAAATTAGTACTTATATGACAATCATTCTGCAAAAATGATTAAATCTATATATTGTCCATACAATACATACCTCTATCTAGTTCGTTGTTACCAAGTGTTTTTTGGCATATATAAAATCAAAATCAATATATAATACTATAGTCACCATTATATAATTCTTGATTACATAAACAGTTTGTGTGAATAGTAACATGTACTACTTTTTTTAGCGCAAAGTATTAGTTTTAAACAGTAAGAATGTTCATTCATCTTAATTAGACATTCTCAAAGGTAGTGTATGCAATAAACTCTAAATAGAAATCAGTAAAGAAGGAACCTTGACTAAATGAGCCATGGGATCACCCCATCTAACTCTTTCTTTCAGCATTGAGTCCAGATCTGGGTCATCCCTACAGTAAGTAAACTCACAACCGTTGGAATGTGTTTACATAAGTTTCCGTATTAAACCAGGAAAGATCAACTCATGCAAATTAATCATCAGATGAGGCATGTGAAATTAACAACTCCATACATCACATGCAGGTCAAGAGGATACAAATAAAACTGATCCTTGCGGTTACCTGCTCCTAGCAAATGGTTTATTCTTCTCGTCAGCCATTTCTTCCAATCTAGCTTCAGCTTCCCGTTTCTGCGCCAACCCCTTGCCCCATTCCAGGTGTATTTCCTGAAGGCCAAACATTCCCACTTGAGCATGAATAATAACTACCAATATATAATTACCATCTCATTACACAATACATATTCAGATGAAACTGAAGAATGAGTAAGAAAACAGCAATAATACTCTAATTCTATTCTAAAATGAAAAAAAAGTATTAGATGCTTGGAACAAGTAATCCACTGCTATATTAATATGAAAATAACTTACAAATCCAAGTTCAATTTATTTCCCCTCTCCAAGGGGCTATATCTCAATCTATATTTTGCCAGCAAAGAGACGAGCTTAAGAGCAAGGAAGAATAACTACACAAGATATATGTTCAAAAAAAAAAAGAAACTAATCAACCATATGAAAGCATAAATACTAGCAATCAAATGGTCAACTACTTTGAAGTGAGTCACCTCAAGTTCTGTTAGGAGTTACATCATAAATCAAATGGATATGATTTGTTAACAAAAGCAGAAATTTTCCGAACTTGGGACAATTCATATAAAGAAACGTACCCTTTCAACAAAGGGCAAAACTTTAATATATGAGCAAAACTTCTTAAGATACCTTTCTTCGTTTCAATAATGAAATATATTTTAAGGTTTTCTTGTTAGAATATAAGGAAGAAACATCCGTAAATTTCAATCTATCCTTTAATCCACATGTTCACTGATTAAGTGCTAGTTCCAGATATCAATTTTAGTGAGCACGTTATGTTCAGCAATATGCACAACAGAACCACAATTAGTAAAAAGACGAGCAGCAATTCAAAGCTAAAAAAAACCATGTTATCATTATTTAATACAGATTATTATGTTGAATGGACGAACCACTTCCATTTTCTCGAGGAGCCTTGATACGATTAGGACGTCATCTAAATGAATCTAGGTACCTGAAGGGGAATTAGCTATTGGCTAATCTATGGTGTTGGGATAATCTCTGTGTGCAAAATATCAGAAGAAAACCTTGACGTTAAAATATCATAAGACCACACCTCTTCAGTTACTTTAAATCATCCTTGTAGAGGTGGTTAGATATAAAATGAGAAATGGCATTAATTTTTACTCTCAAGATCAACCCAACGTTGTTGGTACAGAACACAACCAACTGATAAATAAGCTTGGTACTCGGGAGCATAAACAGGTGCAACATGATTATTTTCTTTTTTACAGTGATTTAAAATCTGACACGTCAGACACAAGATACTATAACAATTACGAAGTTTGGAATCCTAAAATGAGGCACTTACTAGGGCTGTCTGAGACTAACTCTTATACAGACGTTTGTTACTCTCATTTACCACAAAAAAAAAAAAGCATGAAAAATGCTGCACAAATAATTTATGTAATCTATTTTTTCCAAGATCAGTCACACTTAACTAGCTCTCCTACATGAGACTAATCTTCTCCCTTGGCTTAAACTAGATAAAAGTTAATATTAGCTTGTATATCCAAATTTACTATTCTATTGGTTTCTGGATGGCTAACAAGTGAAAGTAAAAAAGTTTCAAGTTCACATGGGAACCGGCTAAAACAAACTTCAAAGCTTCCATACATTAAACTAGGAAAATAATGCTTTTTGCCAACACAATTAAGACAGGGCCATATGAAAGTGGATCCATGAGTAATAGAATACGATTTCAATTCACTACAAATAAAATGAACAGTTCTTCAGAAGAACTGCTCTACAGGAACTGCTGCCCCTGATAGCGGGATGAGTTGGCATAAATTCAGAAGAACTGCTGATCTACAGTTACTGCTGCCCCTGATAGCGGGATGAGTTGGCATAAATTTAGGGGAAGATGGATTACTGAAGCACCCAACAATCATTTTCTCAAGTATCAAGTAAAACCCAATGCTGGAACTCAGGTTAACAATGTTGTTTAACTCAAGAATTGAAACAAACTAGACTAGCAATAGCATCAACAGGGATCAATTATGAACAATTAATAAATAAAACTGCAAATTGCGGCAGGGATCAGTTATGAACAGCTAATACATAAAACTGCAAATAGCTTTCAATATATTGGGCAGTTTATGCAGGGACGTTTATTTATCACATCCAAAAGGTGGATATTAGAAAACATGAAGGATATTAACAGGATTTCAGTAACCATTCAAGTCAAGATGTATGCAGTCTACTCATAGACCTCTGCCAAAATACAAAGTAGAAGACAATAAAAAGCAGAGAGTTGCGGCATTATAACCAGGGAGGGAGAAGATGAGGAACACATTAAGAGAGACAGTTATAGTAGAGTAGGCCAGTTCAGTGAAAATTAGTCAAACAGTAAATGCATGAAAGAAAGTATAAATGGCACCTTGGGCTTCTCATCTTTCTTCAACTCCTTTTTCTGGGACTCGAGGAACTCTTCCTTTGACATGCGTTTCCCTGAAAAAGAAGACAGACATAAATAAAGTACTTCAATCTGATTAATGAATACAATGACAAATAGGAAACATTCAAGGCATACCAGTTTTTTTGTCGCGGTATACAGGTTTGGCATCACGACCACTTACTGAAGGATCTAAAGCACTAAACCTAGCAAATGAATAAGACAACAGTTAGTAACACTCTTCACATGGGATCAATAGGTCTCGAGTTCGAGTCAGGTAAGTGGGGAACATCCTCTTTGTAAGAATAAAAAACTAGCAAATGAATAAAGGAAAAAAATATACACACCCACTTCACAACCGGATGAGGATAATGATTAGTAACCAAAAAAGTTACAAAATGCAAAGTGTAACAAGGCTAGTTCAACAAAGCGCAACTAATTTCAAACCATGAATAACCTATTTAAACTTTACATTAAATGACCAACCGGCCTATTTGTACCACTACATTAAACACATAACAAGAGAGTTCGTCTGTGCAAAACAGAACCGAAATAAATAAAATATTTGAGGCGAGAGGTGTATATAACTATATATGAGCCAAAAACCTAAGACCCTATCCATCATTTACAAGATCTTGTTGGAGCTCACTTATATTCAGATTTCTCAAGTTAATCAACTGAATAAGATATAAATATTATGAGTATCACAAATACTTACATAATAGCTATACAACATTTAGCAGATAATGAGGAAGGCAGTATACACGGAAGAAATCTGTAGTTTACCTCAACCAATCATCCTTTTTTGTTTTATCAATTTCATCTTTGATATCTCTACCCGAAACTAAACCAGTTCTGGGATGATATGAAGATGCGGGTGATTCTTTCCGCCTTCTCGGAGGAGAAAGGTCCAAAACCGGAGGCACAACATCGTGAACTGGCTTCTTTGCACGGACAATTGAACTCGACCTCTCATTCTTCAACTTCCTCGGAGGCGAAAGATCGGATGAGTCAGGACGAGCACGTCGAATAGGAGAAATATCTGAATCCATCATCTTTGGTTCTACAAGTGGTGAAGGGATCCTACTTGACTTTCGTGGTGGAGATGAATCAGAACCTGCTGACATGTGGCCTGCTTTTTGTCCTAGCCTGGGTGATGGAGTATCATTCCTGAGCCTCCTTTTGCGAGGTGGGGAAATATCAGCATTTTGATCTTTGAATTTCACAGTACTGGGGATATTAGGTACAGAAACCCAGCCACTTCCATCCTCAGAAAGGACACCAACAGGTCGTTTGGACCTGAGCTGCTCCAGTCTCCTCATACGCTTGACTTCAATGTCCTCATCAACTTGAGGCATCTCTTCATCTGTAGAAAGTATCACAATTTTAGTTGAAGTTTGAGGATATAAAGTATTGTGATGCATGGGAAGGGAAAAAAAAAAAAAAAAAA